CATCTATAACTGAAATCGGCAATTACTTAGTTGCTAACCCAATAGAAGAGAATGAAAATCATTGCAATCTTACTGATTCTCTTTCGCGTATTGACTTAGCAGATGATCCCAATTTGTAGGTGCGACAGTATTATACAGGATATTCATACAGGACACTCCTCCCTTCCATAATCGAAGGACTACATTTCCTATACGCAATTGCATCCACCGGTCAGCATTGAAACTTTGTTATTTAAACCTAATATTTCCACGTTTCCATATATTTGTCTTTCTTTTTTACAAAAATGTAATCTTAGTGTTTAGTTACTTACAATAACATAATAATAATAATAATAATAATAATAATAATAATAATAATAATAATAAGTTTATAATATAACATTTACGGATATCATAAAAATGGGAGTGAGAGACATCTATAACTGAAATTGGCAATTACTTAGTTGCCAACGCAATATTTGGCACCTACGGCATTCAATTTTGACGGATTATGTATTATATATTATATATATGATTATATATAATAATAATAATAATAATAATAATTTTATAATATAACATTTACGGATATCATAAAAATGGGAGTGAGAGACATCTATAACTGAAATCGGCAATTACTTAGTTGCCAACCCAATAGATCGTTGACTCTAGGAAGTATTCTAGAGCAGATTTCCGTGACAGCTCGTCGCTCGGCTGTCCATTTGACGACTGCCTTGATGGCGGCGGACACATCGGAGTCCGCATCGCGATTAATACGTCGACTGGCAAGTATACCCAGTGTTTTGCAATCCAATTGACGAACGCCAGCCGCCGGTTTACACGGGAAATTTATATAGGGACAAACACGGGCCCGCGACGCGACACAGGCTTCGCCCGCGTGTCCGTGATACCCGTGCATATTTACATGTGTCTCCGGCGGCGGGCGAGCGCGCGTGATTTACGCAAACACTCGCGAGCAAGGAAGACGCGTCAAAATTTATTCCGCAGCTCCGCTCCGCTCGTCGCCGCGCTCCGCCTCGCCACGCCTCGCCGCGGATCATCGATCCGTTGATAAAACGGTTCGAGCCTCCTCTCGCGCAGATCGTCTGTTTGCCCGGCAAATTAATATATGTTCATCAGCCGGTCGTCTGTTTACCAGGACAATTTCGTTGTCCGGATCACAAACGCGGCGATATTTGAAAAAGTTCTCTTCGCCGGTATCGCGCCCACCGTGTCCACCGCTCCGCGAGTACCTGCGTGGATAATGTAAATCCTGGGGAACATAAAATGTAGCGCGTCAACGGGCAAACACGGAAATTATACGAGTTATTTCGACCGTGTCGTAGGGTGCTGCGATCGGCGAAATTTGAGAACGAGTGGTTTCAGCATAGGGCGAAGATCCGCGAAAGGTTTTTTACTCGAAATTCGACTGCCGAGCGAGGAGAATTATTCTTAGATCACCTGCTGACAGATATCTAAGAAATGCGTCCATTTCGAATTGTATTTATCAGGTCTACCGGAAAGTTCTGTCTGATAATGTCTTTGCAAATTTCAATAGATATGCACACGTTCATTTGAGACAGATATTTTTGAAAAATGTTGCCCACAAATTGCCATCACGCTGGCAAGAGGTCACAAGTAACGGCGGAAATTATATTGTACGATAAATATTACTAAATTTATGAGAAATCTATTATTTCCTTTCGTTTCTTAAACGGACAGAACTTTCCGGTAGACCTAATATTTTCAATCTAGTAAGTAACGCTTCAAGGTAACGAGATAAGATGATGTAACATTGGAAATTGACGGGGATCTTGTTGCAAAAGTATGTTCAAACGTTGTCTAATAAACTGTCTAACATCTAAAAAGAAGTACAAGTTGTTCGAGCTAATTTTTAAAAAGTTGTTACACATTCTAAAAAGTGTCTAAAAAGTATCTATTTTAGTGTGTGATTGTACATGTCAACTTGCTATTTGTTCGTTCGTCCAATATAACCCCGACATAATCCCGTTGACACTAAGAAATGGTCCAGACGGCTTGGCTCTAAGTTTCCTCAATCTTTGTCTTCTTCGATAACTCGTAATAAAAATTCGAAGATTTCATGATTGCCACCAAGATGACTTTAATCAAACTGGCCTGGTGATTTGCAGCACCGTACTGTCGCCGAAGTTCGTCACTTCGGTCTCTCTGTTCCCATCTTTTTAGGAGCAGTTGTGAATTTGTCGCAGGTGCGCCGACTATACCGCGGGAAAATATGCTTCGTTCGATGCGCAGAGGCAATTCCATTTTCGATTGGTGTTCCTACCAGTCTAGACTAGACCCGTCGTTCGCGGTTGAACGGATTAGAACCTCGGGATCGATAAACCATCTAATGGCGAGGAAAATGGTATTAAGGATTTTCCTTTAATCCGCGGGCTGACCTCATCGTTCCTAGATCGTACGGGAGCATCATTTTCT